TTCCTCCCTTCTTCCCTCTCTCCCTCCCTCACTCCTTCTTTCCTTCCCTCCCTCCTTCCTCCTTTTCTCCCTCCCTCCCTCTCTTTCTTCCCTCCTTCCCTCCCTCCCTTTCTTCCTTCTTTCCCTCCCTCCTTTCTTTTCCCCTCCCTCCCTCCCATCTCCTACAACACATCTACTTTCCTTCCCACCTTCAACCTCCATCTTTCCCTCTGATCCAGTTTTCACCCAACAACCAGAAAGGCCTTTTCAAAAAGCCATCCCTGCTGAAGAGAACCTTCCATGGCTCCCTACTGTCCTCAGTATTAGGAGCGAAAGCTTGGCGCAGCCCTGGGCCTGTCAGCTCTGCCCTTTCCTGCTCTGTGGTCTCACACTTTTCGGTTCCCGGGGCCCTTCACGCTCTCAGTCCTCGAGGCCTCTGCACGATTCCCTGCCTCCCTGGCCTAATTCTGTGAAGTCCCCGGGATTCTTCCAGGAAGCCCCCCTGGACCCCCAGGTTTAGGCCACATCGAATTGCCTCTTGAGTACAGTGTTTCTACATACTGCTATGAATACACTGGTTGCATCTGGCCCTGGCTGGACTTGGTGGCTCGCATTACTGCAAACCCCCAGAAGGACAGGGCGGTCTGGCTTTCCTCTGTGTCCCCAGAATGAGACACGGAGGTGTTCACAGGACAGGGGTGATTATGAATCAGCCATAACTAGACTGCTACATGTTTTGGCTTGGTCATTACCAGGAGAGGTGTCTGCGAGGAGATCTCTGGAACATATGAGAAGACAGACATCAAGGGAAAGTTCCTCTCCCGCAAACCCAGTGAGTGTGGGGACACACCACAGTCCCTTCCCTCGAATGGTGGGCACCCCACAGCTCCTCCCGTTTAGCATGTCCAGAACTGGGAGAGGAGAATAATGCCAATGACGCCAGCAGTTCCTCACCCGCAGGCCTCACGCTTGAGCTAAGTGACAGAAGAATGTGAATTTACTCGGAGTTAGCAACTGTCTGTTGAATCTCCTCTGTGTGCCAAGTCAGGGTGCTTGAGATGAACACCTGAATGTCTGAAAGAAGGGTGGAGACACTGAATGAACGGGCAACAATAAGTAAATGAATGGGTGGGTGAATGACAGGTGAGCTGACTCACCCGAGAGACAGGAGGATGAAGTGATGGAGGGAGAAAAGAAGGAAGCATAGACAGACAGGAGAGAAGGAGAGGGGACGGGTGGGAAGGAAGAAAGGAAAACTGAGCATGGTGCTTTGTGCTTATATTCCCAGTAATGAGGTGGGGGAAGAAGGACCAGAAGGTCAAGGGCATCCTTAGCTACATAACAAGCTAAAACGGCCAACCTGAGCTCAATAGGACTTTGATTTAAAAAATAAGAAACAGAGGAAGGAAAAAACAGGAATGGAAGGAGAAGTAATGGGGAGCGGGGAGGGAGAAAGAAGGAAGAAGGTGCAAGTAAGTATGAAAGGGACAAAAAGAGGACAGTGGGAAAGAGAGGAAAGGAGCAAGGGCGTGAGGCAGAAAAGGAGGAGAGGACAGAGTGGGTGGATGAGTGAGGTGGGTGAGCTATGCTGTCGAGCATGTGGAGAGAGATGCTGATGCTGGATGAACAGATGGTGAGACTCTGTCCATGCGGCTATGGGGTGGATGTCCCTGGAAGGCCACGTGGCTGTGAGGTGGATGTCCCTGGAGGGCCACGTGGCTGTGAGGTGGATGTCCCTGGAGGGCCACGTGGCTGTGGGGTGGATGTCCCTGGAAGGCCATGGCTGTGGGGTGGATGCAGCTATCCTGAGTGGAGGACAGATTATGGGCCTCCAGGGTAAAGAACCTGACCGCTGACTCCTTTGGTATGCCTGCATCTCCCACACAGAATGGAACATAAAGATGGAATCCTATGTGGTACACACAAACTATGATGAGTATGCCATTTTCCTGACCAAAAAGTTCAGCCGCCACCATGGAACCACCATCACTGCCAAACTCTATGGTAAAGGCCTTAACAAGGAAGCTGTTGGAGCTGGGGTGGGAAGAGACTGTGGGGAAGGAGCAGGAAGTTTGCTTTTTCTTGGTGAGAGAACTCTGGTTAGGGAGACACAAGGGGTCCTGGCCTTGAGGAAGAAGAGCTCAGCCTCCCTGGTGAGGTAGATTTCTCATTTCGTCTCTAGAAGGGACTCCTGGGGTCAGTGGGTAAATCCCATGAAGCCAAATTGGCATTCATAGAACCAACATAAGATTCAGGTGGGCATGGTCAGCTTCCTGTAATTCCAGTCAACAGGGGACCCCCACACAAACTGGAAAGTGAGACCAGCAGTGTCTGTGAGTTCTGAGTTTAATTGAGAGACCCTGACCCAATGAGTGAGTGGGAGAGCAACGGAAGTGGATTTCCTTCTTCAACCCCTAGCTCCACCTACACAGCTGCCCACATAGACAAACACGTGTGCCCTCGCGAATTGCAAAGGGGCAGGAAGAAAGTGAGTCCAAAGCTGCCAGGGCCCAGACAGAGCCAATAGGAAGAGCCCTAAACAAGGACGCAGGATCTATGATAGGCCCAATCTCTCTCTCTCGGGGAGCCATTTTTCAACAATATATCAAGAAGAATTAATGTCTTAATCCTTTCCACAATTTTCACTGGACACAGTCACCCTACCTGGCCAGCCCAGGTGCCTTGGGCTCTAGGTATCTCCCCTGCTTTCCATTTGCAGGCCGGGAGCCACAGTTGAGAGACAGCCTTCTGCAGGAGTTCAGGGAGGTGGCCCTGAGCGTGGGCATCCCTGAGAACTCCATCATTTTTATGCCTGACAGAGGTAAGTGGTATCTTGCCCCACTCTGAATTTTGGGCCCCTCAACTGTCCTGCCCCCAGAGAACATCCTTAGTCCCTGCATCTTTTCTGTTGCACCCAGAGGCAAACAAGGCCACAGAGACTCCTGGGTTTGCTCCAAGCCTCAGGACATGCACTAGCAGAGCCAGCATTTGACCAAGCCCATTCCTGTCCCAGGGTCACAAGTCTCCGTAGGGTATCCACAGACATGGCTGAGGAAGCAGCGGAGCCTTGGTGCTGAGGGCACAGACTCCACAGTCAGAGTACCCACATTCGAGTTTAGTAGGTCAAGCACAGAGGTGTGGCTTCTGGCTAGTCTTCCTAGAGTGTTACTTTCCTCATCTGTCAATGGATCACAGTGCTGGGGAGGAAGGTCAGTGAGATAAAGCCATTAGCGACTGCAGCATGGTACCTTGGAAGTGCTCTGTAGATGCTACTGTTGCTGACCTCCTGAGGATACTGACGGGATGATGCTCAGACAACCCAAGCTGTAGACTATCCCATCAGTGGCTTTGAGTGATGTGAGGAGGGCCCTCCGCCAAGTGCTCTAAAGCACAGGACACAATGTTCTCCTGGTTCCAAACAGAAACCTGGGCCTAGGATCTCCTGGGTCTGCCCTTCTAACCTGGGCCTCTTGTGCACTCTTCTTTTGTGTCCTTGCCTAGGGGAATGTGTCCCTGGGGATCTGGAGCCACAGCCCACGCCACCTCTGGTGAGTATTTCTTCCACCCTTCCTCAGCAGCCATGCCTCGGGCCCTCTGCACTGTCAAGACCATCAGTTGGCTGGGGTTTAAGAACTAGCCAGCAACATCAGTTTCTTGGACACAGGAGCAGAGACAATGCCAGTGTCTCTGGCAGTGGGGAACAGGGCTGAGGAACACAAGAACAGCCACAGCAGCCTGTTACCTTGTATGGGCAGTGTGGAAACTGCTAGTATTTTTCCCCAGTAGCCTTTCCACATTGGGACAGTGGAAGGCTTGAACAAGATCTTGGTTTCTTGGATGACAGTGGCTGCCTCTTTGGAGCACTTAACATCTAAACCAACGTGGCCATGTCAGCCCCCAATGGTGACAGAAACACTGAACCTGGTCCAACGGCCAGCCCAAGTCTGCTTCTGCACTTCTGTAATCTTTAAAACCTCATCCTTACGAGATGCCCCCAGGAAAAATTAAATAATCTATCTCCAGCAAGGGCAGAAGAACAGGGAGAGCGCCTCCAGGGATTTGATCTTCATGTCCTTGACCAGGTGACCCAGCTTGGTGACAAAGATCCTCCACGTGTTACAGAAATCTCATCAGAGAGGACCACCTACACACAGTGCATAGCCAATGGAAACTCTTTATTCCAGCCAGATGGGACCACACCCAAGTGTCTAAGGACCTGGGTGTGGCCTGGTGTGTCCAGAACACAGGTTTTCAAAGGCGGAAACAATGTCCTCGCATCCCACTCCACAGCTGCAGGAGGATGACTTCTCAGAAATAAGTTGTCTGAAGCAAGCAGTTTCAAGCAAAGCTAAGTTAGCTAGAACATCCCAACTTTGGGTTCCTACTTGAGTTGGGTAATTTTCTGTGGGGTTCTCCATCAAGGAGGTCAGATTCTAGTTAAACCTGAAGCCATCCCAGCAAGAATACAAAATGGAGGAACTTCTGCACTGTCTTATCCCATCATACATGAGCCTCTGCCCCCAGCCATCAGCCACAACAATGCTGAATCCTCCATGGAAGATACCACAGCCTCCTTACAATTACATGTTACTTCTGGCATTTAAATTTCCTTTTCTTTGGTGGAAATGTTTCTATAACAAACATCTATCTCCCACCTCCCAGGCAAACCACATGAGCCATATTTCTGGTTCCTTGATGTCTTAGGGTTTCTATGGCTGTGATGAAGCACCATGACCAAAAGCAACTCGGGGAGGGGTTTATTTTGCTTTCTCTCTTCCCCAGCACTGTTCACCACTGAAGGAAGTCAGGAAGTAACTAAACAGGGCAGGAACCTAGAGGCAAGACATGATGTAGAGGCCATGGAGGGTGCTGCTTACTGGCTTGCTCTTTACAGCTAGCTCAGCCTGCTTCTTACAGAGGCCCGGGAGTGCTAACAATGGGATGGGCCTTCTCGTATCAATCCCTAGTTATGAAAATGCTCTACTGGCTTACCTACAACCCGATTTTATGGAGGCATTTTCTCAGCCGCAGTTCTTTCCTCTCAGATGACTCTGGCTTGTGTCAAGTTGACATAAAAACTAGCCAGCACACTTGCCCAGCTGAGACGGTGCTTCTGTGAGTCTTCCATGGTCAGCAGCTTGGGTGAGGGGGAATTACTGGAATGCAATCTTTTCCATGGCCTTCATGTTTTGCCTTGAGCTTCTGTGTTTAAATCCTCATTTACCTCACGGCCGCCAGCCTCCTTGTCCCTCTTCTGCAATATCTATAAGGAGTTGCTTTGTTAGTTTTTGGGTCTTTTCATTGTTATTGTTTGTTTTAAATTTTGATGATTTCCTTTCCCCTTATGACTGGGCCACCCACATCTTCCTTCAACTCAGAAAAGTTTTTTCTATAATTTCTACTCTATTTGTTTCTTTCCCTAACACCTAGGATGCAGTTTTATTTCCTGCAGTATAGTATCTAAATAGCACTTTATTAGCTCAACTATGAGGTTAAACCCAACATCTTTTCTGAGTCTGAAGGTTTCCATCACCGATGGCGGCTGTTACATTAGTGGAGATCACTGTGAATTTTACTTTCTATCCCTGATGGCGGCTGTTACATTAGTGGAGATCACCGTGAATTTTACTGGTGACCTAATCTTTTCTCACGTTTCTTGCTCTCATCCTTGTTAAGTGAAAACCGTCTTTCAATTCAATCCAGTCCCTCTGAGCAGCTGTTATCTAGCTTGTCTCTTTCCTGTTCATCTTTCCCTTTTCATCACGGAAGGCCTGTATGCCACCAGGTTAAAGTGGATCTGGAAGAGAACAGGGCCCCCAAGTTCTCAGTTGCCTTTCAAAAGAAGAAACAATCTAAGGCCACCATAGTTCTGCCTGTTCAAGTCTTAGGCCACTTGTGAGCAGAAAGGCTGCCTAGTGACCAGCAGTCTCCCGACCCGTCCCTTTTAAGATTGGCCTTGGACTCGGCCTCAGGAGCCTCTACAGCAGACACCCTCTTGAGCACGGCACCCTGTGAAGCCCCTTCTGGAATTTAGACTGATACTGGGGCTGGCATTGCATTAGGCACTCTAGTCTGTTTACACAACTTCACTGGTTCAGGGGCAACGCACCGAGATCTCTACAAAGGTATTTTCTCCTCTCTCTAGAGAGCCCGGAGGGCAGTGCTACCCCAAGAAAATGAGGGATCAGGGGCTGGGCCACTGGTAACTGAGGTCCTCAAGAAAGAAGGTAAGGATTCCCTTCTGTTCACCTGCTTCAGCCATGATGTAAGAGAGAGCCAGGGGCTGCCTCAGCACTCTGAGGCCCATCTCTGGGCTACAAGGTTGACGGCTGGCCCAGATAAGGCAGATGAAGTTCTGTACCCTGTGGGGTCGGAGGGCGAGGAGCAGTAGATATGGTCCGAGGTTCAGGAGAGCTCAGCTCTGCCAGGAGGAATGGATTTCTGCCTGTCTGTATGCTCACCAAGCCTTGGTGTTCCTGCTATATAATGGGATACTCCTCTCCTGAGCTAGGGCTCTTGAATAAGTAGTGTAGAAGAACATGAGGATGCTTTGTGTGGATGCTTTTTGTTCATTTAACTTGCTCAGCAAATGCCAAGTCTGCCCCACCCTAGGTGGGCAGACAGACTTGGGGTCTTCTTGGCTCTTTTTGCTTTAGTGGGGAGACTTCCAAAGGAGCAAATGATAAGTTCAGTGGCGAGCATCATCAAAGGGCCAGTGATCCTAAGAAGACAGAGGTGAGGTGACGAAAGATACCTCCCTGGGCCAAGGAAATTCAGGCTGCGTCCAGGAACCAGGAAAGGTTTTACGGATCACAGGAGAGCAAAGGCATGGGTGGCACCTTGGTGAAGTGGTCAAGGCGGATGCTGGGGAGAGGGGGAGCCAACTAGATTTTCTGGGCAGATAGGTCTTTGGGTCACTGGTAAACCTCACATTCTGGGTTATGGGGCTGAATTAACACTGTTGGTTTTTTTTTTTTGAGTCTTTTGGTTTGGGTATTCATTCTGGGTTTCACCCATTAGGAGTGAAGACCTGCTTCTCATCCAATGGATGAGTTGATAGCTCTTTCATCATGGACGGTGCACATCAGGCCATACATAGACACAAAGCAAGTGCTGTTAGCATGGATGACACATAGGTCATACATGGGTACACA